CTCCTCTTTTCCGCTCTGGTTGTCTTTTGTTACCTTGGATAGGCTTGTCCGCTTCTTTGCTTCCCTTTGTACAGTATTTCATTAAGTGTTTACATCATAGCAGTGTAATCCTAGGTAAAACTACACACTACGCCCTTTGACTTTGACAGGTGTAACTCTGTTTGGGGCATAAATCTGCCAATGGGGTCTGTCTCACATCTTAACTTTGGTACAAACTGCAGAGAAATAGCCACTTCCAATACTCGACAAATATCAAAAAATGGCTGTTTGGTACTAGTGAGAGGCAAAGCATAATTCTATAATGGCAGAATCTAATGATTGTTTGGTCCTTCTAGATGTGTCTGCAATTTCCAATCTCATCATGAAGCATGTCCCTGAAGCGAGGCTCGTAGAGGATATCGGCCACGAGCTAACCTATGTTTTGCCATACCAAGCCGCCAAGGAGGGTGCTTTTGTGGAACTGTTTCATGAGATCGATGACCGCCTCTCTGACCTGGGCATTTCCAGTTATGGCATTTCTGAGACCACTCTGGAGGAGGTACGTGAACTGCTTTTCTGACCGTTCAGTTTCAAAAGCTCTCCGCAGGTCCAAGAAGAGTCCTCTTGCATGCACCCTAGGGTTTGCACACAGGGAGTGCGTTTGTTTTCTTTTTGCCTTTGAGGCATAAGCACACCCACACTGCATTGCAAACTGCTATTCTGAAATATGTAAAAATAAATCATTTGTCGTGCAGTGTGAGGTTCTTGTTTTTTGAAGTCCCCAGTCCTGCTGTATGTGTGGGCCTAACCATGCCATGTTCAGAACTGCAATTAATGCATTCTGTGATCTTCCATTACATCTTAAAAGGTGATGTTATTAAGTGAATCTCTGCTGAAGTCATCGGGAGACAGTTTGTGCAGTCAGCAGAGTCAAGTGCTGAAGTTTTCTCTGTACTTCACAGAAAATCTTGACATATCAGAGAGAGAGAGAGAGAGAGATTCAATGCCTGACCTTCTCTGTGGCACCCTGTCTTAGTGTGTGTGGGGTGTTTCCCCCGCACTGGAAAGTTTCTCACTCCCCCCCCCCATACCATCTGTAGCCTGAAGTTTCAGCTTTTCTACACAGGTGTTTGCTGTCCTTTCCTCTTCCAGATATTTCTCAAAGTGGCAGAGGATAATGGTGTGGATGCAGAGACCTCAGGTAAATGTGGTTTTTCAGATGTAACTTAACAGAACACAGCAATGTGTCATTTGAGGTCTTATTGAAACACAGTCTGCCATGGAGCAGGGGTCACTGGGGTGTGCGTGGAGGGAGGTATTTGGGAATTTCCTGCACTGTGCAGGGGGTTGGACTAGATGACCCTGGAGGTCCCTTCCGACTCTATGATTCTATAATTCTCGCCAAATCCTGCCCATCTGTATAGCAGGACTTTAAGTGTGACCACAGTGTTTGAAAACCTTTGACCATGCAGAACTGCTCAAAGTCATGGAAAGTCTGCTTTAGTAAACCCAGCCTCCAGGGAAAATGTAGCACAGGTGTAGACTCTTTTCTCTGCAGTTGGGCTGATTGTAAAGGAAGCACCTGTTTGATAATGGATCTTCCACATGGAAGTGTTTCTGGATGGTTTCATGTAATGGTCATTCCATCTAAGGGGACTTTGCAGTGCTGTTGAGGAGATTCACAAGGTCAACATGAGATGAGATGTCCCAACACAGTGTTAGCGACACGTCTCCAGTTAGTATAAAAAGAAAGTGACCGATTCTGATCTAGCTGGGTAAGCTCATGTACGGTTCTCTTTTCAGATGGCACTTTACCTGCTAGAAGGAATCGACATCTCTTTGGAGACAGGCAAAGCTGCCTCCGTCCATTCACAGAAGATGATGCTTTTGACCCCAATGATTCCGACATAGATCCAGGTGATGGACATAAGGATTCTTTGCTTATTTGTCTTCTCGTGTTAGGAACTAATATGTTTTATGTACTAAGTACTTTTGTTGATTGACTAAGGGGTGGTTCACATATGTACCTTTATCACTTGATGGCTGCTTCATGGAATGAAGACTTGCATGTATGAATGTGATGGCACAGATCAGCCTGTCACTTCTATTTGGAGGCTTTCCGATGAAGTCCTCTCATTCAGCTCTGAATCATGAAGCCGAGAGCAATAGAGAACTTACGTGGTGTTACATGCATATGTGAACCAGAGTTGCAGAACAGTTAAATCAATCAAACGTTTAATAAGCATGGACTGGATGATGAACAGTTAAAAAGCTTTATCCATGAAAGTTTTTGTAACTTCAAGATCAGCAATCCTCAAACCAAGTCCCCAGGCAGCCAGTGGCAACCATGAACCTCTTCCTGGCCAACTTCCAGCATGACTTCCAACACTGTTCTGCACACAATGCCAAGAAGTCAGAGGTCTTTTGCTTCATGCCAAGCAGGAGGTACAGGCAGGAGATGTCCCTTTGGCAGGAACAGTGGACTGGGGGGAAGGGTCAGGTTCTCACATTGCAGCAAGAATTCTTCTTCTTGCCTTCTGCCTGTCTACAAGGCCCGGTGGAAAACAGAGGATGGCGTTTCTTCTCCCTTGCGTCACCTTTGTGTCCCAGAGGACTCAGAGAAGGGAGTAGTCACCAGGGCTCTTTTTGTAGAAAAAGCCCAGCAGGGACTCATTAGCATAATAGGCCACACCTCTGACAGCACAGCACATTAACATATTAGGCCACACCCCCATGTTACCAGAAGTGTGGTCATCCAGCCACACCCACCTTTTGCTTCTTATTCTGTTTACCTTGCTTGTTGTCAAACCCCAGGGCTTTTTTTGTAGCAGGAACCCCTTTGCATGTTAGGCCACACACCCCTAATGTAGCCAATCCTAATGAGTTTCTGCTGTTGGGTGTGGCCTATTATGCTAATGGGTTCCTGCTGGGCGTGGCCAACTCGGGAGCCAGCCGGAACTCCGTTCCTGTGCGTTCCTGCCCAAAAATAGCCCTGGTAGTCACAAATAATGACTGGCGACTAAGGCCCTGCAAACTTTGTAGGCCCCTGACCAAAGTTTTGGCAGCTTTGAGACCAACAAAGTTTTAAAGTCTGCAAGGCTTGGGAGACCGGACGGTGTGTCGTTGCCTACAGTTTCCTCTCATTTACACCAAAGCCACGGAGACAGGCCTGTATTGAAGCTTGGAATGGTCGTAGACATGTTTTTTCCCCCCTAGACAATGTGTTTGCAACATTCCCCTCCCATTTGCTGAAGTGTGCCAACACATCCTGCCGAAGGGCAGCTTGCTTGACTCCGGAGAGAGGAGAGGTCTCACGAACTGTCCTGTTTGCCTGCAGAATCCCGAGAGACGGACCTGTTAAGTGGGATGGACGGCAAAGGATCCTACCAGATGAAGGGCTGGAAGCTGACTCAGCAGCAGTTTGTCGCCCTGCTCTGGAAGAGGCTGCTGATCGCCAAGCGCAGCAGGAAGGGCTTCTTTGCACAGGTGAGACAGGCTGGACATTGGAAGCGTTAAAGGCCCCAAAGGTAGAACGGTTGCAAATGTTTTGCTCAGATGTTCCCTTACATGGCCAGCGTTATATATGCAGCTACCCAAATGGGGAATGCTCATAGTTCCACCATGCTGGGGGAACTCCGCTGTGTGAGAGGCTGTGAAAATACTGCCCTCCATTATCCTCAGAATCCTGTGACTTTTGACACTTACTGTTTTCTGGATGTGCAAATCTTTGCTGAATCTTTGGCAAATACTTGTGGCACTTGGCATCAGTATTTGAAATCCAAGCATGTTTGCAGTGGCCACTACACTGTCTGATACCTGGCAAGCCAAAGCAGTGATAATTTAATAGTATTTGTCATGGTCCCCCCCCATCAAGTCACAGCTGATTTATGACAACCCCATAGCATTTTCAAGGCAACAGACGTTCAATGGTGGTTTGCCATTGTCTGCCTCCACATCATGACCCTGGTATTCCTTGGACCGTCTCCCATCCAAATACTAGCCAAGGCTGACTTTGCTTAGCTTCTGAGATCTGAGCTCAGAAGGATTTAATCATATCAGTTTGGTGTAGTGGTTAAGTGCGTGGACTCTAATCTGGGAGAACTGGGTTTGATTCCCCACTCCTCCAGTTGCAGCTGCTGGATGACCTTGGGCAAGCCATAGTTCTGTCAGAGCTGTTCTTGAAAACAGCTGTTCTCTCAGAGCTTTCTTAGCCCCACCTACTTCACAGGGTGTCTGTTGTGGGGAGGGGAAGGGAAAGGAATTTGTAGGCCATTCTGAGACTCCTGAGTGAAGGGTGGGGTATAAATCCAATCTTCTTCTCCTCCTCCTCCTCCCCCCAGTGCCACTGGGTCTTGAGTAGATCAGGTAAAAGGCAAGTGATTGATACCTTAAATAAACTTGTTGCCTCGTTTCTTGCATTGTTGTAGTGTGGCACTGTTACCACTAGAGGGCAGTGCGGTTAAAGAATTTTGATGAACGTGCTGATTCTACTGGTGGCAACTGAACTTCTGTTTTCATAGTGGTTTGATTGGGCATCATTGTTTCATAGCACTTCTGAAAACAACTTCTCCCCGTTGTCCTTTCAGATTGTTCTCCCGGCTGTGTTCGTTTGCATTGCTCTAATGTTCAGTCTGATTGTGCCTCCCTTTGGTAAATATCCCAGCTTGGAATTGCAACCATGGATGTATGATGAGCAGTACACATTTGTCAGGTATGTATTAAACCACGGACAAAGAATGAAATATAAGTACTGTGTCCCTGGTGGGGTGGCATTGCCCACTAGACCATTTACTTATTGACATCTTCTCTGCCCAAAACAAAACAAAACAAAAGCCCAGCCACTATCTTAATTCCATATTGCATAGAAATGATGCCCTGTTTGGGTCATGAACACTAAACTGCAGAAGCGGAAGAAGCTGTACTACCCATTGCATGAGGTCACCTTAGGAACATAACTGATTCCCCTATATCAATCTATTGATTGTGGAAAGCGCAGTCAAGTTGCAGTTAACTTATGGTGGTCCCTGTAGGGTTTTCAAGGGAAGAGATGTTCAGAAGAGGTTTGCCTTTGCCTGCCTCTGTGTCGCAACCAGTGTTCCCTCTAAGCTGAGTCAGTGTGAGCTGGCTCACAGTTTTTTAGCCTCCGGCTCACACATTTTGGTCTCAGCTCAGGAAGGGATGGCTCCAGAGCAAACTGATTTATGCAGCAGCGAAATCGCTCGCTCACAACTTTAACGCCAGTAGCTCACAAAGTAGAGTTTTTGCTCACCAGACTCCACAGCTTAGAGGGAACATTGGTCGCAACCCTAGGATTCCTTGGTAGTCTCCCGTTCGAATACCGAGGTCTGACGAGATTGGGGTAGCCTGGGCCGTCCAAGTCAGGGCATATCCAAGCGAAAGGCATGGCAAATGCATTCGTTGTGCTAATAAACAGGCCTCTTTCTACTGTTACGACTGTGGTAGGATATGGGATAATGAAACACTTTAGTATATATGAAACACTGATACAACCGTGATACTACTATCCTGCCTTACTGTCCAGATGGGCTCATAAGATGACTGCAACTTTAAAATGGTAATAAAATATTTTAAACAAGCCGGTCTCTCGTTGATGCATCCACAGCAATGATGCTCCAGAAGATGCTGGCACTCAGCAGCTTTTGAACGCTCTCCTCAGTGAACCTGGTTTTGGGACCCGCTGTATGAAAGGACACCACATTCTGTAAGTGGATTGTTCACAAAACTCTTAAAACTCGGATTTATTTATTTATTTTTAAAGCATACATAGGCAAATGAGTGCTGCTTTCATGGACCTCTGGAATTTGTAGTGCATTTCTTGACATTTTATTTAGGACTGCGTTTGACTAGTTTACTTGTTTATTTACTGGCAGTCCTAACTGAGATTTTAAACTGTCATCTTTTATGCGTTCTATAACTGTTTTATTTATGTTGTAAGCCTCCTTGAGTTCCACACCGTGGAAAGGCAGCTAATGAATGCTTTAAATAAATAAATGACCAATATTACATTTAGGATTTGTTTATTGTAGGGTTGTTAGCCCCCCCCCCCGTTAGAGGCAGGAGATCCCCTCTGATCAGCTGGCCAGTGGGGGGACTTAACAGAAGGGGGAGGGAGGCCCAGGCTATGTTGCCGGCAACATGGTGATGTCACTTCCGGCATACACCGGAAATGGCATCATCACATCCACGACATTGCAGTGACCCTCTGGTATCTGGGCAGAAACGCTATGGTAGAGGCCATTTTTACCATAGAGTTTTTGCCCAAATACCAGGGTATCAGGACAGTGTCCAGGTGTGAGGATGTCACTTTCAGTGCACGCTGGAAGCGATGTAGCCACATTGCCTGCGATGTCACGTGGGCCTCCGTCCCGCTCCTAGTAAGTCTCCCCCCCATCCCCTGCGGGTTGCCAGGAGGGACCCGGCAACCCTGGTTTATTCCATAATTCTGTGAAGCTTGGAAAGTTGCAGAAAATGGCAGAGTGAAGCATTCTAGGAAGACAAAAGCCTGTTGGAAGCCAACTATGTTTGTGTGTAGCTCATCTGGTTGCAAAGAAATGATTGAAGGTATGTAGGTTGGGCCTGGTTCGATCTCAGGAGCCAGAGTAAGATTTGTGTCCAGAGTGTGGCTTCCATTCCTTTGAATGTCTGTGATTTGAAAAAAATAAATAGTTGAAAAAAATATGATGGTTCTTCCTGAGAAGATGAAACTGTACCTGAAGGTTGTGGATTTGTTGAATTATTTGTACTCACACCAGAAATCTGTTTCTAATGCAACTGACCGTGCACATGGTTACATTTTGGCCAGTTATGTTTCTTACAGGGTGGCACAGTTAGCCTTGGCAGCCAGGGAAACATAGGCTAAGAGTTGTGTCTAAAAGCTGAAATACTTTATTTGTACATAAAGAATTTTCTTGTGTGATTTCTAATGTGTTTCTACATGCTTTTAACTTTTTAATGTTACTGTTTTTGCTGTCGTTTGTGATTCTTTTTGTGCATCCTAATTGTAATGGCCTTTGGCCCTACAGAATAAATTATACCCTGCACAACTGATTAATTGAAGACAGGAAGTTAGAATGCTTGGGTGTGGTTCTGGCCATGTCACTCATTCGTACACGGTGGATAACAGGAAGTGTCGCCCGTTGACCCTACTGACACACCAGGCAATATAACTTGAGAAAGTTTTTTTCACTCTCTTTGGACTTTTTTCCCCTTTCATGCAGAGATACCCCTTGTTCTGTTGGAGAAAAGGACTGGACCATCAGTCCTGTGCCTGAGACAGTAATGGAAATCTTCCAGAATGGGAACTGGACCATGGAGAATCCTTCCCCATCCTGCATGTGTAGCAATGACAAGGCCAAAAAGATGCTTCCTACGTGTCCTCCAGGGGCCGGTGGGCTGCCTCCTCCCCAGGTACTCGATCATCTGGATGCTTTTTTGTTCTGGGGCATGAGAGTTATGATGAGTATGATGGACTGGCTGTCTCTGGGGTCGTCTTTCCATGGGCACATAGCAAAAGAATGCCAAGATCCCGGTGGGCAGCCATGTTGGTCAGAAGCAGTAGAACAAAGTTTGATTCCAGTGGCCTCAAACTTTGTTCACAAGAATGCCACGTTATCCTTGCCTGTTTTATATAGATATGGATATTTGCATTTCGGTGGAATTTAAAACATCTGCATATCTATTTCCCAAGCGTGGACTGGAGTCACACTTGCACTAAACAGATTTTTCTGCAAACTTGGGTGACTCCCCAAGTTTGCAGAACAATCTGAAATCTTCAAAAAAGTACACGGGGGGGGGTTAAAATCCCCTCCCACACAAGCACAGGGAATGCACCTACCTGCAGTGGTCATCGTTGGAGTCCAGGAGCTGTGCCCAGCAGCGGTGGCAGTGCTCTGGAGCCACGCTGGGCCTAGCAGGGACCCAGCCCGGGAGCCCTGCTGGCCCCAACGGTGGCAGTGCAGCTCCATATGCGGCATGCTGGTGGCAGCACAGCCCAGGAGTTGCACTGGGCCCGCTGGCAGCAACAGGGCAGCCTCTGAGTTGTGTTGGGGCCAGCAAGAAAGTGGGGGGGATTCCGCCCTGCGCGTATTGCGGGCCCATGCTTGCGATAGTATATTAACCCAAATCCATTTTTTGTTTATGCGAAACGAAAAAGACGCTTTAAACTACACGTTAATTCTTGTTCTCATGCAGTCTCATCTGACCCTGCACCATTTTATTTCCGAATAAAGAGTTGCTTTTATTTCAGTAATTAATCTCCAGCATGAGCACATCTATCTGACAAACGTCAAAAAATGCATTCATTTGTTCATCAGCGTATCAAGTCATAGTTCTGTTCTCCAGTCCTCCATTGTGGGTAGTTACACGCTTTTTCTAAAATGTAGCTGATAGTATTCTAGCAGCCGCCAACGGATTTCTAATGTGTTTTGTCATAACTTAGCCCACAGAAGTGTTGAAGGTATTCTGCCACTAATGATGTTCTTGGCTTTTCTTTTGGATGTCCCCCCCATCCCCCAATCCATGGACAACAGAGAACGCAGAACACCACAGACATCCTTCAGAACTTAACGGGCCGCAACATTTCTGATTACCTGGTGAAGACATACGTACAGATCATTGGGAAAGGGTATCTGTCACATAGTATATTGTATTTTATTGCTCATATGTATAGAAGGGTCATTTGCTTGAATCTTGATGAAAATACCCACTGAGGGAAATCCTTCTGCCAATGGAACACAACTTTCTTGCTTTCCTACTCCTGCGGCAGACCCAGGTGCTCCCCAAAATGTTACTCCTAAGGGACAGGGGACCCCTAGGAATAGCATGAAGGTCTGTAATTGGGGGGGGGGAGGGGACTGGAGGAAATCTTCCTCTCCATTGGTGGAAATCTTCCATGGGATCCAATCAACTCATCCTTTGGAAACCAGGGGTATGAACTTAAATGAGGTTTAACTTTATCGGAGAATTCTGCACAGGGACCACATTTAAGTTTTGCAGTGTTGAATACCTAAGTTTAAGAATATGAATCCTGGCACAGAGGATGGTGTAGTATGGCTCCTCCTTGGGCCATGAATTTCTGGTCACACGGGAAGAGTCTACAATCAGTGTTCCCTCTAAGCTGTGCATGTGAGCGGTCGCTCATTAACACAGGAAGCCCCGCTCAGCAGCGGTCTGGAGCCACACAGGGTTTGGCACTGCCCATTGCCCATTTTAAGATTATAGCAGTTGTATTCTGCTCAGGATGTGAACTGCTCCACTCAGTAGGGGGGGGGGGAAATTAGAGGGAACATTGTCTACAATGCAGCTGTTTCCCAGACTAGTGTTGCCTGTCCTGGAAACTGATCTGATTGTTCCTTGGACAATTTTTGTTGTAACCACTGAACACCTTTTTGATAATATTTTTTCATACATTGCAGATGTATGAAATGTGTCTCAATGTGTCTCAAAAAAAGAAAGAAACGAAATCTCTCACCAAAGTCACATAGGAAGCACACAGTTACCTTTCTATATAATTCTCTGAATGAGAAACCAGCCCTGTCTTCACTATCCTGATCTATTTGGCTGCTACTCACTATAACTGTATAACATTAAACAATCAGAGTTCTGCCCCCACACCCAAAGAATCCTGTATGAAGGCAGGGTATTAAAAATTCCCATTATGAGACCCCCTAGCCCACTCATCTGCAGTGCTAAAAATTTCCAAAGTTTCTGAGGAAGACATAATGGGTGTTAGATAATGGGCTCTTCCACGTTCTCTAGTGGTCGATTCGATATTAGATCACTGTATGTCTGGCATAAAAACCTGCAGTGTAAATCTGCAGGAAGATAGGCCAGACATAACATGATGCAATATTGAATTTACCAATAGAGGGAGCAAAACACATGTAGGAAGGGGGGGGGGACCCTGAAGCAATAGGGACACACAAGTGATGAAAAAGAAAATGCAGAAGAACCCATAGTATTAAGATTGAAGTATAAATAACAGTGATAACCAAGCAAGTCCTTTTTCCCATTCTGAAAAGGGTTTATCAGAGGGGTGTATTCTGAATACAGAGGTTGGATGTCTCTTGCCAGGTGGCTAACAAACACTTTTCTTTTTTGCCTCCATAGTTTGAAGAGTAAGCACTGGGTGAATGAATTCAGGTAAGATAACGTTCTTTCTCCTTTAACTTTGTGAGGCTTGTTTATCTTCTTTCGTCCTAGACATCTTTTGGAATGACTCTACGATACTCTGGGCCAAACTACATGGTCCTCTGGAGATCAGTGACTGGATCTCTCTATCATTTTTAACATTGAAAAGCCATTGTAGTGGGGCAGGGGATTTGGACCAGGCAGTGGTGCTGGGCGCGATCACACCCCAGCATCTGGGAAGCGCAGTGCTCCCGTGGCGAACCCATGGCTGCCTGCCAAAGGTGCGGATTAAAAAACTAGTACTTACGAGGTACTAGTTTCCGGAAACCGCGGGCCAAGGGCGGGCATCTGATCACGTTTCCGGTGGACTTACGTGGCATCCGGCGCCCGTCTCCGCAGGTTGCGCTACAGCGCCCAACAGCGCATGCGCACAAAGAGCGATTGCTAGTGCGATCACGCAGCGCGGCTTCTGTGCCGTGCTGCAGGATACCCGTCTGGTCGGCATCTCCCCCCTAACCACGGGACCTCGACCGGGACGTGTGCTCGGGCGTTGGGCGTTTCTTCCGGGGCAATTAGCCATGCCTCCCCCCTGCGATATCCGGCCCGTGTGACCGGGGCCTGTGTTACCTTTCCTCAATCAAAATCTCTCAGTGCTGTTATTAGACACCAAGTTGGACCCAGCACCAGTTTCTGCTGGTGCAAGGAGATCTTCCCCTGGAGCATACAAAAACCCTCTAGAATGTTAACCATAATTTTAATATGCCCTTTAGGTATGGAGGATTTTCACTGGGAGCCAGTAGTTCTCTTGTGCTTCCTCCAAGTCAAGAAGTGAATGATGCCATCAGACAAGTGAAGAAGATCTTAGAACTGGCCAAGGTAAGCAGATTGAGACATCAACCCCAGAGTCCCTTGAATGGGAGATTTGCTGGCCAGGCCTTGCTGCCATGTTGGGCATGCAGTTAACCAATGTGTGGCAAAGAGTCCCTGTCTCTAAACAAATCTCCAAGGAAATAAGTCTGGGGGGGGAAGCTGTGTGAATTTGTTGGAGCAAAAATAAACAGGAGTCTTGCAGCACTTCAGAAACTAGCACAACGTTATTCCAAGCTTTCATGGACTAGAACCCATTTCTTTAGATGCAGTGAGGGCACTGAATGTTACACAATAGCATTTCACCCTGGGCTACCTGTTTTTTGTGGCCTCTTGGCTGTGTTGGTGGTTCATTTGTTTTCATACCCACTCATAAAATAACTACCAGGAACCACTGAGTGCATCAAAAGAAGTGAGCTGTAATCTACAGATTATTCTGGAATAAAGCTTTGCTAGTCCTTAAGGTACCACAAAACACCCAGAAAACAAGCAACTTTATCCAAGCCATATACCAACTTGTGATTTTCTTTTTTCAGGGGAGTTCTGGAGAACGTTTTCTTAATAGTCTAGGGAGCTTCATGAAGGGACTGGATACAAACAATAACGTAAAGGTAATTTCTGTGCGTGATCAAATATAGCAAGAGGCCCTGGGAATCCACAGCAATGCTTCTCAAACTTTAGACAGTTGAGACACAGCTTTTTTTCGGAGTTACTACTGGCAGCACATTTTACCCTTAAAGCTGCAGAAGTTTACTTTTACCGTACAAGAGCTGCATTTATCCAGCCTCAGAGGAGTGCACCACAGGTGTATCTGCATGAGTCTGGATATGCTTCCTGGTTGGAAGAAGGCAAACCCCAAGCAGTGACGCATGCAGTGGTGTGATAGAGAACCTCCTCAGTACATGGATGATCCTATTAGACCTGATGCAAACTCATGGCAGAAGCAGTAGAGCCAGTTGGAAGGAGGCAAGGCCAGAGCAGTCGCAGCAGGTAGCCCTTGCTGGGAATGGATGCTTTGGGATCATAGGTGTCCTTAACTGTTTAATAAATGTCATTCCTTGCAGCACGATACTGGTCATGCTGTCTCCTAAGCAAGCAAGCAAGCACCCTGATATTGCCAGGGAGAGGTGTACTGAGAGCAGAGTGACCAGTGCTGCAAACACTTCCCTCTAGCGTTTTACATTTCACTCTCCCAGCTCACCCCTTACATTATGTTTGCAATTAACTTAGTGAAAGAACATCTTGGCCAAAGGCACACTGAGATCATATGCCTTGAATCACCACCATCCCCCCTGCAGATTTGAGAGTTCCTGCCTTTGTATACTTATTTAGAATATTTCTATACCACCTCTTCCGAGTCCTGTTTGAGGTGCCTTACAATTAAAAAACACAGTATAAAAACAAGCCAGTTGAAAGATCCCAAGTCATTAGACATAAGGAGCATAAAAACTACCCATAAAAATAGAATCAGAACACTAAAAGGCTGATAAGATAAACCCTTGATTAAATGCCTGAGTAAAAAGTTGGGGTTTGGCATGGTGTTTTTATAGTGAAGTAGGAGCCAGGAAAGCCTCAAGGGGGGGAGGGCATTCTAAAGGCGAGGTGCCACCACAGAAAACGCCCTGTCTCTGGTTGCCCCCCCCCTCGAAAGGCAGAGACACGGAGAGGAGGGGTTGGTGGTCTGGATAGTATGGGAGGAAATGGTCCCATTCCGTCTCCTGAATGCCTGCACCTTCCCCTTCTTCAGGTGTGGTTCAATAACAAGGGCTGGCACGCAGTTGGCTCCTTTCTCAATGTGATCAACAATGCGATCCTCCGGGCTAACCTGCAGGAGGGAGAGAACCCCAGCACCTATGGCATCACAGCTTACAACCACCCACTGAACCTCACCAAGCAACAGCTGTCTGAAGTCGCCCTGTAAGTCCTGGGATGAGCATCTGGTGGGGGATGGGGTGGAGGAGAAGACAGGCCAAAGGGACAGGGAAGCGGAGAGAGGAACCGTCCTTCTTGAAGGCAGAGGAGAATCTGCTCAGCCGTTTCCATCCTTGTGGCTCCAGTGGCATAAGCCAGGGCTGCAGTTAAAATCAGTCTCTGTCTCTGTCTCTGTCTCTGTCTCTCTCTCTCTCTGTCTCTCTCTCTCTCTCTCTCTCTCTCTCTCTCTCTCTCTCTCTCTCTCTCTGTCTCTCTGTCTCTCTGTCTCTCTGTCTCTCTGTCTCTGTCTGTCTGTCTTGGTGGTTCCCCTGGGATTTAGTTGTGTCTTGTATTCCTGTATATCCAATCGAGTTGCAAGCCAGTCTTTCTCACCCTTTGCACGTTTCCTTTTGCTATCAGGATGACCACGTCAGTGGATGTTCTGGTCTCCATCTGCGTCATCTTTGCCATGTCCTTTGTCCCGGCCAGCTTTGTGGTTTTCTTGATCCAGGAGCGAGTCAGCAAGGCCAAGCACCTGCAGTTCATCAGTGGGGTGAAGCCGGTTATCTACTGGCTGGCCAACTTTGTCTGGGATATGGTAAGGCTGTGCCTGTTTCGTCTCCGCCCCCTTCCCCCATCCCTGAAAGACAGCATATACTAGCAGACTGAGCCACTGAATGTGTCTTTTATCTTGTGCCTCTTATCGTTTTTATTTGTGAGCCTCCTCAAGTGTGTTGTGGTAGTGGTGGCATATGAATTCCCTACCTACATAAATGAATGCACAACCGGTGGTTATTTGGACCCAGGAAAATCTAAACCATGCCATCAGGACCAATGGTTTAACTGTTTTAACATATTGTCAGTAAGCCGCCCTGAGCCCGCCTTGGTGGGGAGGGCGGGATACAAATTAAATAAATAATAATGATAAATGATACAGATAATCAGTGTTTCCTCTAAGCTGAGTTACTGTGAGCCAGCTCACAGATTTTTGTCTTAGCTCAGGAAGGCCGGCTCCAGAGCAAACTGATTTATGCAGTCACCAAATCGCTCGCTCACAACTTTAAGGCCCGTAGCTCGCAAAGTAGAATTTTTGCTCACAAGACTCCACAGCTTAGAGGGAATATTGTAGATAATGTAATATTGCGTATATTTACTGAGGGCTGACAACCTGGGCAGATTTAGGTGTGCGTCAGCTGATCGGTTGTGCGTGGTGTAACTCAGAGCTTATGCAGCTGTGGCCATGATCTGGAGCTGAGAAACCCTACATTCATCTTTCCCTGTGGTGTCCTGACCTGGATAGCCCAGGCAAGCCTGATCTTGATAGATCTCAGAAGCTAAGCAGGGTCGGCCCTGACTAGTGTTTGGATGGGAGACCTCCAAGGAATGCCAGTGCCGTTACGTGGAGGCAGGCAATGGCCAACCATCTCTGAAACATCTCTTGCTTTGAAACTCCTACAGGATCATCATAATTCAGCTGTGACTGGACGGCACTTTCCACCACCACCCTCTGATCATACTGAAAGTGTCAAAATAGGCAAAGTTATTTTATAATGGATTTCTTAAAACCTGCCCCTTCGAAGCATTATTTGTTCCCAGCAGAAAGAGCCAGTTTGGTTTAGTGGTGGTTAAAGAGCTGCGGACTCTGTTCTGGAGGACCGGGTTTGATTCCCCACTCCTCCACTCGAAGCTAGCTGGGTGGCCTTGGGTCAGTCACAGTTCTCTCAGCCCAAAAAATAAGCCTAGTTCACCACAAAAAAGAGCTAGCGTTTCAGGCCGCCAGACAATCTTTGGATCTCCAGGCTATACCCCGCCCACTGCCATAGGATAATTAATTGTTCCCAGCAGAAGACAGACACAGTCAACTGCATTCACAGAACAGCTCTTGACTCTTACAGCAAAGTCCTCAACAGAGTTACTCCCTCCTAAGTCTACTGAGATGAATGTATTTAAGGCTGGAACAACTATGCATAGGAATAGAATTGGCTGCTTCCACGCTGGGATTTCCCCCTGGCTGCCACACAGCACCCCCCACTTTATTTAGGGACTCTCCTCTTGAAGCTGGAGCAAAGAAATGCCACTTTTGCTCAGACTTAAAAGGGGCAGTGGCAAGCTGGCTGCAGACAGACCCTCGGTATGAAAGCTCTGTCCTCCAGACAAACGGGGTGGGTGGGGCTTAGCACCATCTTCAAAATGGATAACCCTCAGCTCTGGTTTCCCTCCCTTTAACCCTTAAAAAACCTGAGCTGTGAGTCTTGCATGAACTCTGGCAGAGGAGGGGAGGTTTCCAGGCTGTGGGAGTACCTGTACCACCTGATTATTGCTCGTTCAGCATTTCAGATGAGCAGAAAGGGGGTTGGGGAGGGGCAGGACCAGCAGGCAGTGGGGGCAGGGCCATGCTCTTTCTGTGTGCTTCAGTCCCACTTGCTTTGGCCATCCCTGTTGTGAAAGCAGCCACTGATAGTCTTCAGCAACAACTGTTTCAGTAACCAGACCCACCCTATACACTGCTGGGTTCCTGAGAACAAATGTAGAAGCTCTTGAAATGACAGTCCAGGAATGAGATGATGATAATAATAATAATTGTTATTGTTATTTGCTCTCAGGGTTTTTTTTGGGGGGGCATAATCTAATCTTGCAACATTTGGCCAAAACATTAGAGTGGCAAAAGCAATAGGAGCACTTTGTGGGGGCTCTTTCCCGTTGATCTGCCTGCCCCCCCTCCCCCCGCGTAGGGTTCTCTTTGTTTCATCACAGTTAGACTTGCCAAAGCTGATAGGCACTTGCCTAAAGGGAGTGAGAAATCCTTCCCCATTTAATTTTTTTTAGTGCAGGTGATTTGCATCCTTTAACTGGGAGTTGTGTTGACTCTGTGTGTTTGTGCATGTTTTTAACTTCCAGTGCAACTACGTGGTTCCTGCCACTCTGGTCATTATCATCTTCATCTGCTTCCAGCAGAAGTCCTACGTGTCTTCATCCAACCTCCCGGTGCTTGCTCTCCTCCTCTTGCTGTATGGGTAAGGAGAGGCTTTCTGCGGGTGGGAGGGGCAAGGGGGGAGAACCGGCTCGGGCTGGAATCTGGGAGGCTCAGACCCCTCACGGGGCCGTGAAACTTGCTTGGGTGACTTCGCTGTGTACCTCACCTAACGTACCTCACAGGAGTGTTGTGAGGATAAAACGGAGAAGGGAAAAGAATCACATATACTGCCCTGAGCTCCTTGGAGGAAGGTCAGGGTAAAAAAATGTACTAAATACCTGAAATAAACTTCTTCACGCTGCTTCCTTTTCACTTGCCAGGTGGTCCATAACCCCGCTCATGTACCCAGCATCCTTTGTGTTCAAGATCCCTAGCACAGCGTACGTGGTGCTGACCAGCGTGAACCTCTTCATTGGGATCAATGGGAGCGTGGCCACTTTTGTCCTTGAGCTTTTCACCAACAATGTAAGTTCTTCATCAGCCATGGCCAACATTACCTGCTGACTTCTCTTCAGAGCTGACTGCTTTTGTTTTGTTTTTGGTTAATATTTAAAGACAGCCGAACCTGAACGCTGAGGGCCAAACTCAACGGGAGGGGGGGGCACCATTTGAAAAGGCATTTTTTGGGTGGGGTCACAGGAGCGCCCCAGCCCGATCAGAATTGGGCCCTCACAGCATTTTCAGATTGCTTAAAAACGATGGTAGCCTTCACAGGTCAGACCCGTGGACGCTGTCATATCTAGTTTGGCCCTGAGCCATGTTCAGCTGAGTGCTAGGTGTCTGCTCAGGTTTCACCCTAGGAAGGAACTGGGCCCCTTTGTGGGATTTTGTTTAGTCTGCTTAACTTATGCTGGCTGCCAAATCTTGCCACAATTTGGTGGTTACTGTTTTTTTAAAAAAGAATCTAGCTTGATACATTGAGAAGAACGTGTGCCTGTTCTGTAGTCCTATAGATGAAGGTGGAGAATCATGCTTATTGTGGAAGCCTCCCTGTTACTTTCAGATGTATGAGTCCTTCACCCACACCACCCACACATTTATAAAGCCTTCCTCCATATGAATCGGAACTAGCAAACTCTCTTAATTAAAGCAAAAAAGGAAAGCCAGGATTCTGCTGCAGTTTGCATATTGCATAAGACCTTTTCAGACAGTATGCCGACCCATGCTGGGCGTCAGGCAACTGTGATTGGTGGGAGTGAATGTACCTGCATTGACCTCAGTACTTGTGGGTCACCGTGCTGTCTGAACTATGTGCTTATTTTGCATGCATGTACAGCTTCAGGATGCATGAACCAGAACCTTGGGAAATCCAGCAGCCAGCTTGTGCATGCCAAGCTGTGTGTGCATTGCCCCTGTTCAGACATAATGGTGACCGTGTGTACTGGGAGGATCTGCTCATGTTTGCTGGCCTCCCAGTATACATGGCTCAAGTTAAGACGCTGAACTGCAGGCTGTGGAAGGTCGGTAGTTCAGCAGTTCGAGACCCGGGTGTGTGCCGCATGACAGAGTGAGCTCCCGTCTCTAGTTCCAGCACCTGCCAACCTAGCAGTTCGAAAGCAAGAGATTGCAAGTAGATAAATAGGTACCACTTTGGTGGGAAGGTAACAGCATTCCGTGCGCCTTGGTGTTTAGTCATGCTGGCCACATGACCACGGAAACGTCTTCAGACAGCGCTGGCTCTTCGGCTTTGAAACGGAGATGAGCACCGCAACCCTAGAGTCGGATTCGACTGGCTTTCCAGCAAGGGAACCTTTACCTTTAACATCTGAAAAGGGCTTACAATAGTGTTGTGCCCAATCAGAATTCTGAATATCTTGGGTACAATCTAGACAAAGTTAGGGTGAAACTGGATGGAAACAGCCCACAATGGATTGTTTAACTGACTAAATTGTGTGCTGATGTATTTCTTGTTGATGTGGTAGGGAACCAGCTAGTCACTAGCATTCATGGGCAATTTTGCATCAGATTTTCAAAACTGTTCCCCCACCCCCCGAACTTGGTGCTAGAGAGGAAATGTAGGTTTGCAGTCTACACTAGTCTCAAAAGGTAACATGTGACGGAATGCTCAGGCAAACTCTCTTTGCAGTCAGGCAGCCAAATCTTTAATTCTCAGATCACTTTACTCATTGATTCCAGAAGGTGTGTTGGGGATTGGGCTGTGCTTGCTGAGCTCATACATTTCCTGCCTTTTGGTATCCTTTCCTCTTGGTGACCTTTCCAAACCGCTGACCTGCTGCTGCTTTTGTGTCCATAGAAGCTGAACAACATCAATGACATCCTGAAGTCGGTGTTCCTCATCTTCCCCCACTTCTGTCTGGGCCGTGGGCTGATCGACATGGTGAAGAACCAAGCCATGGCAGATGCTCTGGAAAGGTTTGGTACGTGAGGCATTGCACAACACCGCACGGGATCCCGTGGCACAGATTTGGAATGTGGAGACCAAGGCTGTGAGGCATCTGTTCTTAGGCCATCCAAATTCTGCACTAAGAGAAATGGGATTCTGCAACTTGTATAAATTATACAAATGGAGCCCATTTGCATGCTTTTGTTTTGCATATTTCGATGGGCCATCTTTACTAATTTGCTTATTGTACCCTAGGTTTGTTAGTAATGGAACAGAGTAAATACCTATGCAGAGCACAAGAATCGCCAGCCCCAAACCTTTCTGGCTTTTGAGATTTCAGCAGGCATTGCTCCTGCCTTGCAAGCACACTTTCCTAAAGGCGCTAGAAACTTCTTTTAAAAGAGAGAATTGCTCGGATTCTCAAGGCACCTTCTGCACCCAGTGCGGGCCTAAGAGTTACTCCTTTCTAAACCCATTTACTTCTATGGATTTAGAAAGGTATAACTCTTTTTAGGTCGCTCGCTTAAGGAATGCTGAACATACACTTGAAAATGCAAAGGGAAAACAAATGGGGACAAACTTTGTGTCTGCGAAGATGCGCATCATGCCCATGCACTTGTTTGGGAGCCGGGATTGGCTACTGCTCTTTACCTAAGTAAACATTCCGTGGCAAACTCTTGTTTGTCCTACGTGATGGATGAAAACCCCCTGAATCTTTAGTGAATTAGTGGAGTAGGCATTACATAGTCTCCAATAAGCATCGATCGTTATCCGTTTTTCTGGATACTTCAGTCATGTCCTCTGTTTAAATGAACAGTTGATACTAAAAAAATTGTAAGAAGGGTTTGGATATATAAAACAATAGCTTATTGTGCGCAGTGTCAGTTGATTGTGTTTTTTTTTTCCTGGTGGCAACTGAAAAAGAGTGTTTCTGCCTTTCCCTTTCAGGTGAGAATCGCTTTGTTTCCCCCCTCTCCTGGGACCTGGTGGGGCGCAACCTTTTTGCCATGGCTGTGGAAGGTGCCGTCTTCTTCCTCATCACAGTGCTTATCCAGTACAGGTTCTTTATCAAACCCAGGTAAGATGGCCTCTGTGACAAATGTGCCCCCAACCTGGGGAAGACAGTCATGGAGTGGGGTGTGGCACGAGGGTTTGAATCCTTTGAGGGATGGGTGAATCAGGACAAGCACTTATTTTCCAGAAAAAGTGATGTGGGAAAAGAAGGAACACCGAGGAGAACTCTGACAGCAGCTGAAGCCCTCTTTTCCTTTTCCACCACCATCATCCCAATAATTTTTTGAGCATTTTTTTTTTTAGCATTTCCCCTAGAACTGACTGCTTTCACTCGAACTCCCATTTACTCACGGACTTCTTTTCTGTGCCTTTTTGCCCTTTCCCTTTTCTTCTGCCACATCTCCATTCCAATAAACAGGAGCCTAACGGTACCTTCAACAGGTTTTTATTTTAGCATGTGCCACTGTGGACTGACATCCATCTGACGAAAAGGTTCACTAGCCCACATATGCCTATTTTCATCAGCCTTTAAGGTGCCACCAAACTGTCTTGTCTATTTTTGCTGCGGCACGGCTACTCCTCAGGAATTATTTCCATTCATTTTGCTCCTTCTTTGCCTGCTTTCCTCGCCTGCCGTCACTAACAGGGGCCAGTCCATTTCAGGTTGATCAGCTTGCTAAATACCACTTCTGGAGCACCCCTTATCAATGGGGGCTTTAGGCAAAGGTTTTTGCCACCCAGATGTACTCAGCAGGGAGCTACAGCCCAATCGCAGCACCTCGATTAGGGTCTTTGTAAGATGCACGTGTTTGTTACATTCATGTTTTATATTTTAGGTATACCCTTAAAATACCTTATGCGTAGGCCTAACAATGTAATATGTTAAGTGGCCTGCAGCAACTGGTGCACTCATCTCTCTAATGCGGTGACTCCCAACATGGTGCCCAGTGCCCCAGAAGACCTTTGGGTCTGCAAGGAGCACCCATCTGGCAATAGTTGCCTCGTTCATGGAAGGATGCTTGGCTGGAAACCTCCCATATATTTTATAATTGCCCCCCCCCCATGGCAGCCACTGTGGGATGGCACCCACTGCCCTTTCTCAGAATTCCAAAAGTGCTTACAGGATCACTGAGGTTACAGAAGTGTGTTCTGAGTTGGCCTTTGGCTATTGTTTTCCCTAATATCATTTATAAATAGACTAGGAAAAAGACCCGTTGTGGAAA